AGGCGCTTATAAAATTAATCGATTTAAATAAGACTAATATTTTAATTAAGAAGTAGGTTGAATATAATAATAGAGATAATAAATCTAATAATAATTCGGATCAATAAGTAAGGAATTAAGGATTCTAATTAGACGAGAGATATAAAATAAAATAGATTTAGTTTAGCTAATTAGTTATTTTAGTACTAAGTATTTGCTTCTTTTTTTAAGAGTAAATCTAGTATCGCTATATGAATATTAAGTAAATACTCGGTATATATATCTAATAGTCGAATATAATACTATTCTATTTATATTAATACTTTATCTAAACCCTCTATTAGAGTTAAACTAATAAGTACTCTTTTATTCTAGGATAATAAAGGTAATATCTTATTCAATAAAGAGTCTAAGATCTAGGAGATAAAAGAGAGAAAGTCTATTAAGCTATATAGTAATAATTCTTAAAAATAGGCTTATTGTTTTAATACTTATATAGTATATATAATCTAGTTATTCTTACTTTTATTTTTATAAGCTAGTCTTCTACTATAATTAAGTAATTACTTTAATATTATTATATAATTAGTAAAGGTTTAGATTTAGATAAAAATTATATATCTAGCTTTATTTTAGTATAAATAAGTTATTACCTATAATAGATTATAGAGTCTTATTTTATAGGAGATTCCTAAGATATAGATTAACTAGTACTATTATACTAGACGTAACTCTAGTAGTAGTAGAGGTTCTAGTCTAGCTAGAAGTAACGCCTCTAAAAATAAAAATATATTAATATAAGAGTATTTTAAGGAAACTTATAGTAATAGTTATAATAACCTATCTTATTCTTATATTTATCTAAGTTATAAAGGTACTATAAATAAAAGTAGTAGTAGTAGTATAAATATGAAGAAGAATAAAAAAGAGAAAAAGGGTTAAAGTATTAATATAGAAGTATAAGTTTAGTTCATAGTATAGCCTATTATAAATAATTCTATATTATTATACTAAATTTTATTATCTTATACTTATTCTCTTATACCTTTATTTATAAATATACTAAAACTTTTTTAAATTGTTAATATATTAAAGTCTCCTTTATATAACTTACTATTCTCTCTAAATTACTTAGCGTAGAATAAGCTTTTTTACTAATATTCTAATCTAGTTTTTATTTTAAATATAATTAATTAAATACTAGAATATAGTACTCTTATTAGTTATAAAGGCCTAGAGATTTATTAAATATTCTTAAATTTATTATTAGCTTATAAAATCCCTAAGTTATTATCTTCTAAAATTAAGAAGGATTTATAAAGTAGGCTAGTATAGATTATAAATCCTATAAAAGATAAACCTTTCATAATATTACTACTAGGATTTATACTAAAACTAAAACTAAATAGTAACTACTACTAAATCTATTACTTATCTTTTCCTAAAGAGAACTTAGTTAATTTAAATATACTAGATAAATATATATATATATTATATACTAAGTTTAAAGAGGTTTTAGATTTAGTATAAAAGGTAAGCTAAGACTATATAATCTTTAAGTATAATATTTTAAACACTTTCCGAATAGTTCCTATAACTCTATATATATAATAAATACTAGGAGTTTAGTAAAAAGGTATAAAATATATTTATATAGTTCTTTCTTTTAGCCTAGTAATAGCTTCTTTTATATTTAACTTATTTATAAATGCCCTAGAATAGATTATTAAGTTATACTTAAAGTAGTGTTTTTTTTAGTTATTATTTAGATAATAAGTTTACTATATTTATATAAAAAGATATTATATTAAAATTTATAAAAGAATAAAATAAGAAATTCGAAGATTTAACTATTATATTTATCTCTTAAAATAATATTACTTAAAAAAAACTCGAATTTATTATAGATCTCTTGTGATTTTATACTAGAGTAGTATAGTTAGAATAAATATTTTATAAAAACCTTTAGACTTTATTTATATATAGCTAGAACACGTTAAAGGCTACTAGTAGCTCTCCTTAGAGGTTACGGCGGATTTTATATAGTAGAATAGAATACTACTATAATTTAATAGTTAAACTTTCTTCGATTCTTACTACTAATTTATCTACTTATTCTACGACTCTTTAATATAAGGTCTAGGTACCTTTTAGGTATAAGCGAATATACCGAGAATTGACTAGCACTACTACGTACGTAACCTAATAAAAGAATATACTATATAAATACTATTTCACTAATTAAAAAAGAATTCGATATTAATATCTTTAAGATTAAGGTAGTATAAGCTTCCTTTAAGACCTAAGGTGTTTAATAGTTAGGAAAGAGAGTAGTAGTCTATATAGAAAGTATTACCGCTTAATTCGGCCTAAGCCTTTTATCGATTACGTTAATTTTATAGCGCCCGGAGTTTCTCGGCTTACTTTTACTTTTATATATCTTAGTCTTTCTATAAATACTTATAAGGTATATAACTTTTATATTTATTTATTTAAGACTTTCCAAGCTAAGAGATTATATCTAGCCTAGCCGGTAGATTTATAAGCTATTCTTAACTAGGCTTTATTAAGAGTAGTAGAGAGGGAATAAGGTCTTTTAATAACTAGAAGATTATATACGAACTCGATTTAAGTAAACCTTTCTACCATTCGCTTATATTATATAAAAAATAAGTATATCTTATAAATATTCGAGAGTCTACTTATACGTCACGAATCACGTGTCCACGTGATACATGTCATAATAGGAGGCGCAACCCTCGACAGTGCACACCCAGGTTTCTTATAATAGGGATCGCTTAGAGTAGCTAAGCGATCCAAGGATTTCCATTGGTTACTGTCACGTGATGGACCCGGATGGATCCAGGAGAGGACGAAGGTTCTATATAAGACTGGCACGTCTGCCATTAGATAGGAGCTTCGTGCTCAACTTAGTTATTAATCTTATCATATTTGTTTGACATCTTTGATACAAGTAACGAGTTCACTTCCAAGTGAACAACCCGATAGTTCTTATCCTGGCATACCAACCAGCGAACAACAGTCAAGCTTCAGTTAGCCGGATCAGTTATCGTTACATTATATAACGCCTTTTATTAGGTATTCGAGCGTTCTAAGAGCTATAATAAATATATAAGGCCGAGCTTCTTTCTAATATCTAAATCCGCTTAATTACTTCTACTCTAAAGAAGCCTTATTAAGTACTACTAGGATAGTATAATTACCTAAATTTTAAAGTAGTACTAAAGCTAGTATTCGCGGCTTTCTTATATACTAGTAAAATAATATATACTAAATAAGAATCAAGGAACAAGGTTATATTCGAGAAGTTAAAGTTATAAAGGAAGAATATGGTATTTAGTTCTCGGAATAAATATACTATTATTTTCCTACGTTTAAGTAAAAGTAATATTAATTACTCTAGCGTTAAAATAGTAGTAGAATATACTCGGGATAATATTTACTCTATTATAGTAATTTTATAGCTTTTTAAACTAAATCCTTAACTATTATATTCGGCTCTCTTTTGTACTAAACAAGGTTTTTTTGTAAGAGACTTCTACGTTAATACTTTATAAAAGCGCCTTTACTAGATTAGTATACTAAATTATATAGTATATATAAGTTATAGCCCTTAATAAGGTACTACTTAAAAAGCCTCGGATTTAAGTATTTTAGACTCTAATATTTAACGTCTTAGTAGATAGTTCTCTAAAGCTTTTAAAAGTCATTTTACTCTTAGTTTATAAAATCGTTATTAATTAAGCTATTATTTTTTATAGGGATTATAATTAGTTATTCTCCTTCTCCTAGCTTATTATTATTTTATCTTCTTTAGTAGCTAGTTCTTTTCGTCCTTTAAAGATAGCCTAGGATACTAATAATTCTTTTTACTATACTAAATAGAGCCTTTTAATTAGTCTATAATATATAAGAAGTCTAAGTATCTAAAGCTAGCTAGTAATATAAGAAATTGATAATAAGCCTCTTTTATAATATAACGAATAGATAATAAATAGTAGTAGTTTATTATAAATAAGAGAGTACTTACTAAGTAACTCGGTAGAATAAATGTCTTATATACGAGTATACTCCTTTATTAATAATACTATATTTATCGTTCTATATAGTACGATTATTAGCTCTTTTAACCTGCCCACATACCCCTTAAGCTAAGTCTCCCCTTTAGTTAGTTATATACCTTTTATAGGTAGCGAGGCCTAGGATACTAATACTTTTTTTTACTATATTAAATAGAGCCTTCTAATTAGTCTATAATGTGTGAGGAGTCTAAGCATTTGAAGCTAGCTATCAATATAAGAAATCAACAATAAGCCTCTTTTGTAACGTAACGAATAGACGATAAATTAAGCTATCTATAAAGGCTAGAGAAATAAGTTAAAACTAAACACTTACGAAATCTAATTCTTGATAGATAGTATCAGCTAGCCCCTACGTCACGGAAGTATTACTAATTCACCGAATACATACGAAGTATAGAAGCGGAAGTATGGTAAATACAAAGTGATCCCAGAAAAAGGAGGGCACTTCACGTGATTTCACTCAGGATTTAAGCGAGATGTAAATACTTAAGGACGACTTGATATGAGATTCGTAAATATTGATTATCTCTAGTACTATAAATCTTGGATAGATAATTCAACCACCCACGTCTCGCAGTGAAGGATGACAATAACCTAGAACGTCTTGAGAACTATAAGTTTAAGTTTCGTAGCCTTCCCAAGTTAAAGTAACAGATTCGATTGCCCGGTGACTAGAAGAAATAATTGAGCGTCAATAGGTACGTGTACACATCATCTTGCGGTTCTACATATATCTAGGTAGATATTGACATTAAGTATGACCACCTCAATCATCACAAATATGCTTGACATTTAATCTTATCACTTTCTCCACACCCTCTCGCTCAAACACACCATTATCCATACTACCCCCACTCCCCATGGTAAAGCAAAGCAACCCCATATCAGCAATCAACCCTTCCCAACCCCAAACCCCTACTATCAACAACAAAAGAAATCCAGTATTACTAATACAAATGGTATACCCCCGAATCGCCCCCAGCCAATTATCCATGTATATGATATGTACCTATGCATTTTCCCATTCCCAGTCCAGCACAACAAAACAAAAAACAAATGCAACATGCAACCCAGACAAACCCCCAACCCCCCTCAAAGAAAATGCTATGCAAATGCAAGATGCAAAAAAATGCGGTCCCAAAACCCCCTCCCTCTACCCTACGGTTGTTTATAATACAAAAAGCGAAGCAAATCTTCAGTCTCTCTCTCTCTCTCTCTCCTGTGTTCGAACGGTTAATGGGGTATCAAAAACTCCTGCCTGGGTCTACTTCTCCGCGAAGTTAAGTCTCTCTCTCACTTAAAGCGACGACCTACTCCTCCCAGCTCCTGCAAAACGCCATAGTAAACACCACTCATCTCCTCTCCCCAGCTCTGAAGTCTAGCCCAAGTCCCACACCCTTTACACTCGAGCTCCCCTCCCTCAAACCACTTTCCCCCCGTTCAACCCAAGTCCTCTCCACCCGTTCTCTCGCGCCCACAATATCAACCTTCTCCGGAAAATCCCCAAACCCAATCACTTTTCCATCCCCAACCATCATGCCCCCACTTCCGCTTCCACTACCACCACCACCTCTTACCATACCAACACCCAGCCCATCCGGTTCTTCAAGCGTCGTGAAGCTCCTCAGATGTCTGGGCGGAGACGCAGTGGGCTGATACTGTCTCGGTGGACTGGGAGGAGGAGGGAATTGTGAGGTTTGCAGGGGATGAGGGGAGGTGCGTGAGGACGTATAATTTGGGTTTGGGGAGTGGATTTTGGATTGTGGCGCGCTGTATGGTCCTTGGTCCAGAGTTAGGGAATTGCGTTTTGGTGGCGGGACGGCTGTTGTTGAGTGGGCTCTCGTTGAGAAAATGGATGGCGGTCGTGGTGTTGGTTGTGCGATTGAGGGCGTGAAAGCTGGGGTTCTTGGGTTGAAAGTTCGTCGTGGTGGAGGGAGACTGATGCTGTGTTAGTAGTCGTAAGGACGGAGTTAAGGTGTCGTTGGGAATCCTCTACTGGTGGATAGAGAAGTGTTCTGGACTTACTTCTCGGAACTTCCATTCCACCTGTCTAGGCTTTCCTGGCTCTCTCTTGACGCATGACTTGCATACCCAAGTCTAGGGCTCTTCGTTACCGGGTATCCAGGGGTTCTTTCCCGTTCCTTTCTCATGTGGATTAGTTCTGGATCCGTATTCTGTTGATAAACCCGATAGCTAGTTGGTGGAATGGTAGGACTGAAAGTTGGAAGAGATGGTATGGGTTCCGTTTCCGCGACACTCGGTCTTCGACGATGACCGACTCCTATATTTACGCCGTTTCTTGAACGATTTGACTGTGCAGACTGCCCCGATTGGTCGCGAGACATGGGTTGTGAAGTATAACCCCCATCAAAGCGTGCTGGTGTGCTTGAGAATGAGAACTCGGGTCTGCCAGGATAATAAGGAGAATCGGTAGATTTAATGTTGGGCGACGAGAGAGACATTGATGACGGAACCTGCTCTTCATTCGCTGGATAACCTTGTGAATGCCAGTACGAGTATTCGTGAGGCAGATCACGTTTTAAAGGTCCTGAGGATGAACGAGCGCGAGTCTCTAGGGGGAGTGGTGCAGTCATGCGTGGATAAACTTTAGTAGGGTAATTAGGTATGTGAGTATCTTGCCGATTGTCACTAGTATGGAACATGTTCTCATTCTGACGTGGATAGGCATCTCGCATGGGTATATCGAAATTGTCTCTGAGGTTGTACAAATTAGAGTCAGGGTTGGCAAGAGGATCATGACGCTCCACGCCTGGCGACAGTGGATAAGGTGGCATTGGTGTGTACTGTGAGCGCGACGAGGATGTTTCGGATACCCCCAAAGGGAACCTTTGTAGGGAGGTTACTGCAGAACCGCAAACACTCTCTGTTGAGGTATCTCTTGTTTTTGGGCGAGGAATTGGCAATCCTGAGATGGTATCATTTGTCGGTGAAGTCACAGCAGAAGCGTATGATGCGATACCACTCCTCACCCGACGATGTTCTGGTCTCTGTGATGACGGTCGGTCTCGAATCTTGCCTCTACCTCGAGCAGGTGCTGGGCTTGCCTGGGCAATGTGAGTCAGTGCTACTTCAGCACTTGAATGTCCGGAGAGTCTCCCACGAGACTCTGCTCGCGACGAGCTGCTCTGGAAATGCCCATGAGCTGTCTCGTGACTAGTTCGAGGATCGAGGGCGCTTACTGCTCGGAATGAACCTGCTCGGTCACGATATCTTTGATTTTCCATCCTTTTGATTGTCCGATGCTGATGAAGATCCAATCTCTCTGGTTTTTTTGCACGGCGCTCCACCTTGGTCCACTCAGCACTTGCAGGACTTGTAGGTGACTCTGACTGTTGTTGTATGGTCCGCTGAGATGGCTGTAAGGTCATTGCAACTGACCCTTCCATGTCGCTTTCATAACCTTCTTCGGATTGATGCAGTGAGTGCTGGTTATTGTGTGAGTTTGTTGGCCCATCAGGCATTTCATACGGCCTCGCATCATAGATTTGATGATGTCGCTGATACTCCATATCGTGTGTCAAGCTTGAAGGCGACTCGAGGTGACCTTGATCCAGCCAATGTGCTTGAGGTCCCAGCCTAAGATTACGTTCATCATCATCACGTCCCGGTGTTTCTGGTCCTGTGTCAGAAGAGCTGCTTGTTCGATCGAAGATGGAGGTTTGGAAGGCATCAGATTGGCCCCCGGCGATGTTTTGTGATGATTCGGGTGTTTTCTGCTCGATTTCGGTCTTGATTTTCTCGAGAGACTGGTCCAGATACTGATGTGCTTCATCTAACACGGGATATCTCTTTTTGAATCTAACAACATGTTGCTTCAAGCGATTACCGTGTATTTCGTACAGCCTGTAATCTTCAACAAGCCCGGTGTGTGATTTACTAGCAATTCGGGAGCTTGCACTATCGTATGAACAACAAAATACACCTACAGCTCGAGAAAGCCAATGCGGCAAGGATTCGTCCCCATTCATAGTATCAATAAAGAAACCCTGAACGACACCGTGAAGTCGTATAACGTCAAGGTTTTCTGCAAGCATGTCTCGACTTCCTTTAGAGCTCTGAGATGAATGAACTGAGTGGACTGAATGAGCTCGTGTCTCATTACGATCTACAAGAGCAAATATATTCAGAAATCGAAAAGTGTTGTTCAGAGAGCGACCCGTGACCGGTTCAAATGCTTTGACTGGGATGTCAAGGATTCGAAGACCTAGAAATACAGATTAGTAATAGCATAAATGGCAAGACTGATAGATGAGCTCACCAAGGGAGACCATCTCAACAGGAATATGCTGACTGAAAAATACAAGAATTTGCATGAGATTTAGAGACTCCCGAGCCCCCATATGTTCAAGTTGCTCAACAACGACTTTGTAGGTACCCAAGCCACGCAGTCGCGGTTCCGATGCGTAAGACTTAGCATATCGCGACAACGGCTCGTCTGTCATTTTCAGCCTCTGAGCCGCAGTGTGGATGACTATTGGAAGGAACTCCATAGCTCGTACCAGGTCCATCGAATATTCTAGGTCTTTTTGGCTGGGCTCTTTCTTACCAAGTTCAAGAAGCAAGAGCTCCCGTGCTTCTCTAGCGGAAAGAGTAGGAAGCCTGATAACCTGGGGGTCGTTGAAATGATAGTCTCCACTGACTGCCTTTTCTGTTGATGTGTATATGATGCTAGTGTTTCTTTGATCAGGAAGAAATTTCATCAGGCGTTCTGTGTCGTCGAAATGAATCCCATCAAAGACCAGCAGCCATTCCTGGCGATTGTTCAGCCACTTTTTGACCAACTTGATAAACTGTTCCGAGTCATCAGGAGAGAAAGCTTTCTTGTCAACATTATCCTTGAAAACGGTTTTCTTTGCGATATCCCAATACGCGGCAGCCAGTTCCTCAAAGCTCTTGGCTCGTGTCCAGAAAATCCCGCCAGGGTAGTCCTTTTGGTGGTTGTACACATATTCTCTGGCGAGGTGAGTTTTTCCACCACCAGGTAAGCACTGAATCAGGACCGCCGAGGTACCTTTTGCTCGTCTGTCCTTGTCGAAAAGCATTTTGTGCAAGAGTTCAAGTTCCGTCTCCCGGCCAACAAATAGCGAATTGGGTCGAAAGCCGGGTGGTTTCACGAAAATTTGGTCAGACGTCTCCACCGTTTCTGGCGGGATGCTGACATTTGATTTGATAACGATCGTTGAGCTAGCTACTGAACCCGGATCTACAGAGACAAGAAATCAGCCCAATACCGCCGGATCTAACAAATAAAAGCAATCTTGTGCAAAAACCGAAACGCCATTCATAACACCCCTGATTGCAATTTTAACGATTACCAGCCATCTCAACATCCGCATCCTCATACTCGGCAGCCTCAAACTCAAATCTCGGTCTCGATGAAGGAGCGGCTTCAATGAAACCAGAAGATTGTCGATTTTCTGCAGGTGAAAAATTCACGTGTGACGTACCGGGAGTATTGCCGCCTGTAGACGATTGTCGGGGAGGTTGCTGAGGAGAAATAAGTAATTGGTCCAGTGGAATTTCATGGAGATTTCGTGAGGATACATACATTGCCAAATCTTGGGAGTAATTCGGAAGCTTCCTGTTGCCTGATCCGAATTCTATCTTGTATCTCCTTTTGACGACGTGCCTCAATAACTGGAGGTGACGCTTCGACCCATTTTTTGACGCTGCCAGCGACATTGGCATAGCCGGGAGAATTTTTGCTGTCAAATTTGCACATCCCAGAGTGAGTTGCTTCAATTCCAAAATAAGCTACTCCATTAAGCATGGGACTTGCAGAGGTCTGGTCAACAATGAACGCTTTTGTGCCATGCAGATCGGTTTCGAGGCCTTCGTGGGCCATGCAGATTTGAAACTTTGGATATATCTCGAGGAATTTGAGGTTAATTTCCTGGAGGATCTCACTGTTGGTTTGTAGTGTCTTGACCATTTGGTTTTCCGAGTGGAAAGCTTTCTTTGGAATTAATGCTTTAACCATTCGCTGTAGCAACAGTCCCCATTTTGCTGCATCGGAACCAAGGTGCGGTGTGCCGAGAAACATGATTCCATATGTCGAGATGTAGATAGATCTCTGATCATCAGCATTGTTGTGCATTAAGCTCTGCGAGTAATTTAGAGCTCGTTTGACAAGAATGCCTCCCAAACTATGTGCAATCCATATAATCGGGTGATTATTGGCGTTCTCCATTTCTCGGTGCAGTGCAAGAGTGGTGACAAGGGTTTGCGCATGTTGATATATCTTGTCGGAGCTAGGTCCGCTCTTTCCCAAGCCAAAAACATCCACATTGTAGCCATAAACCAATAGTCTCACCTTCGCTCCCTTCAGCGTAACCGGTAGGAGATCTATTGGCCAGAAGGTTTTGTTCTTCTTCGAGGTCCACGTATCTCGGGGATGTCCATTTAGTCCGTGGACAAGAACGATGTCGACTTGGGCATCGGGATGCTCATATACTGGCGTGAACTCGAACCGGTTAATGTCTTCTGGGTTGATAGCGGAGCCCTGTTGAACGTCCCGGTCAGCATTTGATCATTTTTTTGAGGAATAAATAATGCTGCGGAAGTGTCCCAAGTGAAGAAGAGAGAAGTCATTCGCAAAGAAGCTCCGTATTGGAGGAAGCTTGTCTATCAAAACCTGCTGTGAACGACAGAGGATTTCGGAAGCTCATGATAGATCTACTCCCGGAATGGTCCAGGCGATGCGGGGTACTTTAAACTTTGGATCTCCAATGTTCATAGCTCCCATCTCCATACCATGGCACTCCCGGGTCTTGAAAGTATATTTGATACTCCTATAAGATGCTCGAACCAGAACGAAGAGAGTTCGCAAGGACGTACCATGTTTATTTGTGGTTTATTGTCGAGTCCTCCGTCGAATAAGATGCGATGTGCTCGCTTCAGAGGACTCGAGAATCTGCTTTATATATGAGCAGCAACAACATGCACCATGACACACAAAAGTAACCGTTACAAGGCGGCCGTTAAGTGGTAAAGTTGGCGCAAGTTGGCGTACAGTTGAGATTTGCAATCGCCCGAGTCTTTGACTTGTTCTTGAACTGCTTTGGCCTGCGAAACGAACGAATGGAGGCCAAGGGTCCAGTTGAGTCGCGGTCGACGGTTGTGGCACGCGCAAGCGTTAGTCACATGGAGGACCTTCACAGTGCAATTGCGCCACGCGAACGTATTTGGTCACGGCACTGAGCCCGTTGAGAGGGGAAGAGGATGCCCTGGGATGGGTGTGGTGATGCTTGTGGGTGTGGTTCATGAGACAGTGACGACCGAGGAGGAGTGATGCTGTTGGTGTAGTCAGGTGTGCTGCGCTGCCTGCCTGCCCTGGAGTAGACGGAGCAGGCGAGTTCCTCCAGGGTTGTCTCAAACGTGGAGGCGGGTAATCTCACCTACCTAGGTAGGTACAAGGTTCAGCTTCAGGGTTCAAGTTACCCATCAGCAAGGTTCATTAGGTTCCCTCGCGGCGTGGCGCAATATAAGGTTGGGGGAGATCTCCTGGAGGCTGAAAAAATCACCGGCTCGGCTACCCATGGTTACAGTATGGCCCACCCCGTACTGTATCTACGGTTATACGACGGCCAGGGCAGTTGCGACCAGTGATCTCGTATTGTACAGCAAGTCACAGTGGCTGCTAGACCAGCAGGACTTGGGGCCATGATCGCTGACTACCAGTGATCGCGGAGAAGGTGGAAGATTTGGAGCGGTACCTGCAGTCTTGGGGCTTCTGATCGGTCCGCAACACAGGCGCAAATATGAGATGTGAGCGCAGCGCTTAGCGGACGAAAACGACATCGGCTACTGTGAGACGGTACACCACCTACTAAGATGGTACGTACTGTACTATACTTGTACTGTACTGCCCTCTGCAATCCCGAACATGTAACATTCAATTCATCAAAAGAATTCAAAAAAGAAAAGCGATAACGCGAGAAAGTGTGGGGTCTAGGATCCGTGACCATGATTTGTACGTTTCCTTTGGGTGAGCCTTGTATACACTATATTGAGAGGCGAAAAAAAGAAAGAACTTGAGGAAACAGGTAGAAAGCTTTCATTCGACTGCGCCATAATGTATCCTTCGGTATTTGACTCGATTCTACGAAGGAATTAACCAGGTACAGTAATTCCTCTCCTCATCACTCAGCTGACGTATTGAGGCTCTGCTATCTAGAGCCTCCAGAAGTAAACTGTTGCCTTCGCTAGGCGTATTGTTTCCGGGAAGATGCATTCCATTCGGTTTTCTATTTTCGCTAAATCCGGGACATCTGTCACCCGGTGAGTAACAGTATCGACTTCAAGATAGTGCGTTGCTCCGCCATTTTTGTGTTTCTTGAGAGCAACAGCAGCCCTATCGTGTTCCTGTCGAGTGGGGTTCAACGGTTTTTGTGTTTCCCTCACAGTATGCCGGTGACCCTGATAGCGCGACGGTGTGGGCTGTGTGACTTAGGCGAACTATTCAAATACAAGTGACGTCTTTACCGACGTGACTAGTCGAGGCAATAATGGAACGCAGGAGACTGAAGAGTTCAGGACTCGAGGTCATCGATTGTCTGCAGCGGTTTCTTCTTTTTCGCCACCTGGGTTTGGCGAGCCTGCGTCGCGTACGGTAACGTTTCTTGGGAATGCCTCAAGAATGAACGAGCCAACCACAAGCTAACCATGGAAGAAGGAACGAAAATATGATGAACTGCAGGCTACGTCCACTTAGATCTTGGGAGATAACATCAAGACGTACTCCCTAGTGCTGTGGCCAAACTGAATCATGTCCTTGTCCCTCAGTTCTAGATATCGACTGGGAGGGATTTCCTCCTTATTCAACGAGGTTCCATTGGCGGATTCCAGATCAATAAGATACGGTTTGACCTTGCCCAATCTATCCCCATACTCATTCGTCTTTTCAATATAGCGGAACTGTATGACGGCATGCTGCTTGCTGATACTTGGGTGTTCTGCTGCCATATCCACCACCATCATCTCTCGACCGACTAGCCAGCAACTCCTCCTGCTCAGATCAATTGTCTCCAAGATATCTGCGCCCTTGAACACAAATAATTTCCATTCGTCCTTCGCGGATGGCTTGCGCGCCTCGGCTGGCTCGTGGTACTTGAGAACAACTGACGTGCCATCGGCTTGCGTGATTGAGTTTGATGCTGCTGCCAAAAGCCCAGTAGGAGCGAAGTTTGGCTTTTGTTTTTCTGGTGCGTCACCATCACCGGCGGGTGCGAGAGCGGTGGAGGGGTCGAGGTTTTGTTTGAAGGAGGAAGCTTGTGATGGCAAAGGACCCTTATTCTTCCTGCTCAACTGTGTCGCAGAGCCTTCCCTTGATCCCCTACTATCCTTTTCCCTGCTATCTCTGTGCGAAGGTGAACGTTCTCGTGTGCGCCGATGCTTGGACTCTCTATCATCCGTCCTCCGTCGCGAAGAATCTGGACTCCTAGAACTCCGACGTTTCCTATCTTTATCCACATCTCTATCCCTTCTGCTGTCACGGTCTCTGTGCTTGTCGTCGCGTCTGCTTCGATCCCCGCGCTCACTGTCCCGCGCTGCAATTTCGCGTTCCTTTCTGCGTCTTCGCTGCCGACGTTCCTCCTCCGAATCGTATGACGAAGAATGCGAACGGTGACGTTGGCGTCTCTCCCTTTCATCTCCAGTCCTAACCCTGAATGGTTCCATATTCAGCAATGCTGTACTATGGCGGAGACGTCCGCTTGTACGCAGGATTTCTGGGGTGGTGGGGAGTAGTCGTGGCTGGTTCCTTTTTCTTGCGAGGGGATTGCAGGAGTGCACCAGGGGATCTTGCTCCGTGAGGCTTTAAGGCTGAATCCTTCCTCAGGCTGTACATGGTGCACCACGGGGCACATCCAGAATTTCCATAAATAGATCACATCATGTTGACACAGAGTTGAAAAAAACAAGTTGTATCCGAAGGAATATTCCTATGTTGGAATTTCAAGTTCATTCCTCCAAAGTCTATGACTTCATAAGGCTCATGGAAATTGGTTGTTGTAGGAGTCTATAGCTTCCTAGGAGCTGATGCTCGCTTACGTGTCGTGTATATACAGCTTCGGGGGAAATTGACCGGTTACTAAGATCCGATGATGGATTAAGAATGATCAGGGACTGAATACAGGTCTGTTAATTTATCGGTATCGCTTTGTTTGATGCCCACGATTTCTCATTGTGCGAACCCTGCCTTCGCCTTGCCAGTTACGATATGTATGCACTTTACGTCTCACTCCGGGTTCCGAGTAGAAGCATATTGTAGGATTACCTGGGCCAATCCCCGGGTCAAGAAATGCGGTAGTCACAATTCGTAATGCCATCTCATTACTTATTATAACATTGTTCAAAAAACTCTGATAGTTTTCTGGTGAAAGCTTTTTAAGGTACAGAAAAGTAGCCGAGCCTAAGCGCCTGTGTGCTCGCTTAGGTAGTACCTACTACACCTACTAATACTGGTAGCGGGTCTCACTCTGCCTGGCTTGATTACTTCATGATCATCGGCAATCGATTCTTTCTACCAACAACACCACACACACCAACATCGTAATGCCAGCCAACTGACCAAACTATTCACCTGACCTTTCGACACCGGCTTCCTCTCTTCTCTTGACAACAATCAATCCTCAACTCATAGATCTAGAGTCCGTCAACTAGCCGAGGACGATATGAATATGGTCCTTCTCGGGTGCCTTCGATTCGATTGCTGTGCTGTTGGGTTTCTGGAAAGCTGGATTCCCGAGACCTGGATACGATTGCGATGACACGACAGCAGGATGCACTACTCCGTACATGCATCTTCTGTACAGAGGACACGCATCGACAAGGTCCCGTAGTCGTCAGGTCGTTGGAGGCGAAGCACCGGGTCCAGATTTCTGACGAGGGCAGACGAGGGGTGCAGCCTAGTCAGCCCCTCTTGCGCGGCTCCAGGTTGTGTTTCCTCTTCCAGGCCAGGTCGATTTCCAGGCCCTCCACCCTCTATCCTCCACCCTCCACCCTCAACCCCCACCCAGAGAATGGTGCCACCCACGGCTACCAACTGTGTTTTGTTTGTCGAGTCAATTCATGATCCATGACATGACACAGCATGGCATTCTCGACCAGTGATCGCCGGCTGCGCATCAAATCTCGAGTCTCGTCCCCCCTTTCTTCGCATGTTTCGTGAACATGTACGAGTAGGCCGCAGCATTGTTTCTAGTGAGGCGGCGCTTCAAGGCGACTTTGACGCACCCCCTCCCCTTTTCGCCCTCTGTTCATTTTCCGCCCCTCCATATCCCATATCACCTCTAAAAAGTCAGCGGTGCTCCGTCTGATATCGTAATTTCTTACTGCTAAGCGCAAGCCATACGTGAGGGGCAGTTATCGGAAGTCCAAGCGCGTCCTCATAGGCGACAAGTGTATGCACGGCGTGTATAGTTTGCTTGGGCTGACTGTGTTACCGCCCCAGCAGGAGGATTTCTATGGTCTCCTCTGATGGTGGGCAGCACTTATGCAGCCATCTTCTGATGTCCTAGGTAGGTATGAAACAAGTTCTACCCAGTAGGATGCTGCTTTCGTACGCGGCAGGTCTGGGAAACTCCAATCTCTCCTGTTACTACCTGTCCGTATATCCGACCCAACATCCTTCACACATGTCTACCTAGTTTCAGGTTTCCTGAAGGAACTTCTTCTCCCACCGTCCGCACTCACAGCCTCTCTCAATCCGTTTGAACTCAACAACCGGCGCCAAATTCGTGTCATATTCTTGCCTTTTGTATATCAGACTCGGTTTCGTTGCCGCTACGAGTACTTTGGCGAAGATGTCGTTTTGCCCCATGGTCGAGGCCCCACCAAAAGAGAAAGTAGCCAATCGAATTGCAATACCACATGTTATAACACAGTTCGCTCGAGATGGCGGTATCAAGGAGAAGAAGAAGAAGAAGTCGAATGATACAGCGAGGAAGCAGCATGCTCCTAGTGAGGTCTCGCTGGTGAGCACTTCCATTAGCACACCTAGTCAGGCTACGCCAAAGAATAAAAGATGGAATTTTGAGCTTCGACATCGAAGACAACCTTCGGCCGAGATTTCAGTCACCCCGCAGTCTGCTGTTGAGGCTATCTTCGACACAGAGATATATGAGCTCCCTGCATCTCCAAACTCGTCTACGAAGTCACCATCTGGTGCTTTTGCTGTCGAACTCGAAGATAACTCACAAATTGCTCTTCACTCAAAGAGATCAGCTTACCCAGGTTATCAAGTAGACTCTCAAACCTCTTCTACCACAGCGAGTGATAAAATCTTTCCCATTCGCGAGAAACATCACATGCACTAACACATCCCAGTCACGTTCTGTAATCAAAGCTTTGAAGCAGACCCTCGCAGAACTGGAAGCCGACAACCAACGACTCCTTTCCCATGCAGCGACCGTGGAGGCGCGCGCAACTGCAGCTGAGGCGAATGTCCATGACTTAATCCAACTCAACCTACAACTGCGGCAGAAGATCGAATACTGCGAAAACAACCACCGTCGACCTTCTAGAAATGTAGCCTCTCAATCACAGCGTAGCCCAATCACACCTCCCATGCGAACTGGTCAGGCAAAGCTTGCCTCTCCTACTGAACAATATCCAATTCGGACCTCATCTCATCGCAGTCCAGAATCAGAATCACCAAGTAACACCTCCTCATCCGGCTTACTCACGCACCATATCCCCAACAAACCCCTGCCACCACCTCCTGCACGCCCACCACGTCGCCCATTCGAGACTCCTTCGCCCCGGTCCCCAAACCACTGTCAAAGTCAAGCACAGCAATACTCATCTCCTACGCGTTCTCATCCTCAAGTACAACCACATCCACAGTACCAATCATCACCTACTAAGTCCACACCCCAACATTCCCCGAGTCGTCAATCACGTCGAGTATCTCTCTTCCCCAAGATTAACAACAGTCCTACCAACAATAAGCCATTATTGATGGAAGTTGATCGAGCACGTAGACTTGAGAATCAGATACCGATGGGACCGCTGCTAAGTCCGACAAATGTTCACACGCCAAAGAATGAAGTTCAGGGTTCTAAAAATGATATGAATGGGAGAAGTGATTTCCATCGTACGATGCCCGAGAATATGGGATCAGGCATCGACCCTCAGCAATATCAAGAGTTGGAGGTGGATTTGGCTAGTAGTGAGCGGAATTTTATTGCTGGATTGTTTCGCGTCGAGGAAGACGGGAGGAAGAAGATATGGATATGATGCGCTTTCTTTCTCTGTTTTATCGGGATACACGGACTGTGTGGGACTGGGAAGGGAGAGGATACCTACAAAGTATTGGGTCTCGACCTTTAAGCGAGATTCATCCTTTTGGTTGTGCATCTTTCTTTGGATCATCAGGGGTGAAGTGAAGTAGGGTATTTTCCAAGTTGGCAGGGCAACATATATTTTTCTTTTCTTTTCTTGTATACCACTTATACCTATGATAGGATTTTACGAAATGATATCTTCTTACCACTTACATTTATTTATTTATTTATTGCTATTTAACGTCAAGCGGAGTCTAGCTCGCGTGGGCTAGGTCCTAGAAGAGTCCCAAAATAGGGCAAATGACGCTAGGGGGGTGCCCTAGGCTACAGGGGGGTGTAAACGAAAGAGCTAATTTACATGAGGCAGTTTAAAGAGAAGCTCCACTTTCGGAACAGCTCTTATCCTTAATTAGTTTAAGAACCAGGGTAAAACAAAGGAGATATATAAAGAAAAAGGAAATAAAAGAAGGCCTGTCTATCTAGAGAGGCAGATCTTAGTGTAGAATTCAGTATTGAAGTAAACCTTGCTAAAGAGCTCTTCGCAGTGGGATCCGAAGAGCAGTTGAGGATTTCTCTTAGCCTTAGCTAATAGCTTAGGTGCTTTGTTGTTTGCTAGCTTGCAAAAGAGTAGGTGGAATTGAGACTTAGCCTTCCTGCACCTACACTCCCCCGAGGTGAGAAGTGTATCATAGTGAAAGAAACGAAGGTGGTAGGCGGTGAAGTCTCCATGGCCAGAACGAGCAGCTATTAAGCGGGCTAGGACCTCTCTAGGCAGCTGGAGAGACCGGGGTTTCAAGGACCAGTTGTAGAGCCCTAGATCCTTGTAAAGACCTGGAAGTGTAGTGCTCCAGAGCTTCTTCGCAAGCGTGCCCCCTAGCTCCTTTACCTCTCTCTTAAGCGTGGCTGTACAGAGTAGAGAGGGGGGACCAGGAAGAAGTATCCGCGCTGCTTTTCCTGCAGCTTTATCCGCAATCTCATTGCCAAGGATACCTATGTGGCTAGGACACCACCTTGTCTGTATTTTCCCAGGGTACGATTGAGCTAATTCGTAGACCCTGTTAAATGTCTCTTGTGAGGTGCCACAGGACCGGTAGGTCAGCTGTAGTGTGGCTTCAAGGTTGTCAAGGCAGATCCAGCACTTCCTTGCCGAAGGCCAGAAAGAGGATTCTAGGGCAAGCTCTAGGCCATGGAGAGCAGCTCTAGCTTCTGCATCATATATTTCTAACGCTTTGCCGAAAGAGAAGCTCTTTGTATTAAGAACAACCCCCCCTCTTGTGAGGCACACGCCCCCACCAGTGCTTTTATCGTCCAAGCGAGAGCCGTCGGTAAATACTACTAAGTCGGTAGGTGGGAGTGTAGCTAAAAACTCAAGGAATTTGGCCTTAAAGGAGCTCTTGTCTCCACTGGGCTCAGGTCCTGCTACCTCTAGAAGCCGGGATTGTCGGTTGAAACCTCTGTCCCACGGCGGGTCTTGTATAGGGTCGATCTCTTCAGAGGGGGGCAGGGCTCTATAAGAGCGGTAGATAAGCCTAGCTTTAGAGCTAGGGTTATTTACACATCGTTTAAGCGGGTGGGTAGGGTCTAGCCGTCGGATCCTAGCTTCTAGTGCTTCGCGCCTTGTTATAAGAGCAATTTCAGAGGCTAGGAGGCCAGATTCCATGAGTAGTACCGAGGTAGGGGTAGTCTTATATACTGGGAGGATAATCCTCGCACATTTAGCCACTACTCTGTCTAAAAGAGTCAAGTGACGGCCAATTCGGTTGTTTGTAGTCCCTCCTTCCTTGGCTCTGGCTCGTCCAGGGAACCAGGTCTCGCTTCCAAAGTAGGCGATTGATAGAATGCAAGCTGTAGTGGCCTGTTTCAGCAGATGGGAGGGAGAGCCTCTTACTGTGTTTGTTGTCCCTTTTAGGGCAATCGCTACAAGCGTAGCCTTACTTGACATCCTTTTAACATGGTTGTAGAAAGTAAGACGGGGATCAAAGAAGACACCAAGCCATCGAAGCTCTTGAGTTGGCTCTATTGTCCTGTTTCCTACTACAATAGGGGGTGGTAGGCAGATGCCTCTCCCTTTTTGCTTTCTCTTACGAGAAAAGTGGATAAGTTCAGACTTCTCCGCGTCGAAGGTAATGCCTTCCTCTGTTC